AACCTCCAGACCCATCCACCCCAATGTCATGGACCACAAGCGACCAGGAAACATTCGGACCCTGACAGTTCGGAATGCTGCTCAATGTGCAGCAACAACTCTCCCGAAGACATCCCACACTGCCTCCTATTCTGCCCAGAAGCTACATGGGTATGGATGAAGGTCCGCGAGCTATGGTCGATCCTGTTCGCTGCCCCGCCCCCTGACATCCCCTCCCTCTCTATCCTAATCCTAACTAACATCCCCAGTAACATCACAGGCAGCAGGGAAGCATGGTCTACCTTGCTCAGGAAGCTGGCTCTGTGGGTAATATGGAAACGAAGATGTACTCGGACAATCGAGGGTGCAGAGGTGGCTAGGGAAGAAATGTGGTCACTACTGCTGATCATGGCAGAGACGGAAATCAGAAGCAGATGGGCGGAGAATAGTCAACTCTATAAGACACAAACCAGAAAGACAAGCAACCAAGAAACAGACCTTCATGAGGAACTGGCTGCTAAGGGGCAAGGTGGCGACGATAGTTGACAACAGGTTGTGGTGGAAGAAATGGTACCAGACACAATCATGAAGCCTTAAGGCCTCCCGCCGGGCGCCCTGGCAGAAGGGCAAAGAAGGCCCTGAAGAGGGATCAACAACAAGGCAAACCGGACACTCAATGAAGGACAAGGACAAGCAACAGATTTACTGAGCGGAACCCCCCACCGTTCTCGTATTGCAGGGACTCATTCGACAGACTCTGAAAGAAGCCTGAGAGGAACAAGTGGTCAGGGCAAGCTGACAGTCAATCCTCCTTAGGAGTAATCAATGCTGGTCAGGGTTCCTTCGGCCAGATGGAAGGAAGCGTTGTGTGAGTAAAACGATGTATTCTTATGACTTGCCGGGGGAATAGGAACCGGACTGACGCTCCCCAGAATGGATATGGCGCCAGGACCAGAAGGACCTGTTCAAGAAGAAACTAATAATAATAATAATAATAATAATAATAATAATAATAATAATAATAATAATAAAATAAATGAATGCTGCCTCAAATCGAAACCTGCGGCCCTAAGGCCGGCTGTGGGCCTCAGGGCTCGCATCTGAGGTGCGTGCGGCCTGGGGCCCCCCAGCAACCGCCGGGCCCCCAAAATGGGGCCCGTATGCAGGCTCAGCATGTAACGCCCCCCCCTCCTTATGAAGTCAAGCCGGGTCAAGGGCGAAGCTGACGATCCGATGGTGGAACGGCGTGGAGCCGAAAGTGCTGTCTTGCCAGTTTTGTATGGCGGTGAAGGGAAAAAAAATAGAGGATGAGAGAGAGAGAGAGAGAGAGAGAGAGAGAGAGAGAGAGAGAGAGAGAGAGAGAGAGAG